TTTTTTTTTTTTTTGAAGACTTCTCTTGTGTTTAAAGCTAAGATCAGTGAAACAAGACAACAGTGCAAGAGGCGCAGAGATGTTAAGTGACCACATAAGAGTTCTTTTGGGTAAAGTGTCTATAAGGCTATAAGAAAGGATTGGTCGATGAATTTCCTGTTGGATATTGTCCTGTTGGTGCACCAGCCTGAAAACATATAGAAGGGAAAAAAAGAAATCAAATATAATGAAAAGCACTTTACATGACAAAATTAAAAAAAACAACAAACAAAAAAACAAAAAGAAATTTAAATCTGATTAGAAAAAAATACTATTTTATGTTGCAGCTTTTTTGTGATTTTATTCACAGCTACACCCCTTTTAAGAGCATGATACATAAATACCTCTGTCTCAATTTGAGCAGCTTTATGAATGCCATGTCATCAGAATGCTCAATTGCATCTAGGAGGATTCAAATGCTGCCTTGCCTAATTTGAAACAAAAACAGGCTGCATGTGTCTCTAAATGTGTTAGCGATTACATCTTTTTGATTTATTACCATTATGTAATAACTTACTTACCATAAAAGGATTACTAGATACTCCAACAGCTGTAACTTGTCCAAATGGAGTCACTACAGGCTTTGCCTGTCCAAATGCAGCAAAACCTGCACCTTGAGAATATGAAACAATAGCTTTAAAGATTGTGCCAATAACAACATAAAAAGACAGAAAACTACTCACTAGGAAACCACTACCATCACCAGGTTATATGTTAAACTTTTCACCTAATGAAAAAGTCTGCCCTGCAACAAGGCCAAAGGATTAATTTACATTATGCAGTATTAAATGGGTATTGCAGGGTCAAATTTGTCCTCCAAACAAAACCAAACCCAAGTAATTTTCAAGTTTTACTTTCATTCCTATGGGAAACACTTTAAAAGTACTTCAAGCCTGCTTCCAACTCAAAATGTTCCAGTATTTTAGCACATGACAAGTAAAATGGATAGAAACTTAGTCGGTTTCACTTCCATGTGCAGCTTACCTGCTATGTATGGGATGAAGAGCCAAATACATTAGTCAATTTATCACGCTATTAAGTTTTCCAATTTTAAGTTTTCCCAATTTTAGTAATAATAAAGAAAATTACTATAACTGAACGAGCATTAAAAAAGTGTCTTTAAATAAAGAATTTCCATTTTCTATTTGCCAAAATAGAAACATTTCCCCCAGATGAGCAAGATGTATTGCACTGTTACAGGTCTACTAAAAATGCTTTGTCCAGAATTTACTCCCATTTAATTCACTGTGAATGCTCATATAAAATAGCTGAAACCAAATCTCTCTATGAAGTAGTAAATACTATAAAATATCAACATTTTTAAATAAAATGATGTGGTCACATGAAAACATTGATTCTTAAGGCTATGGTTCATAAACACCCCATTTTCTTCCTCCCCACATATGCATATACACAAAGGTAAACATTTTATAATGTTCTAAATTATTAATAACACAAAGGTATTAATACCAAAAGTATTGGGGGGGGAAGCCTTTGCTTTTATTCCCTTTGTCCCTAATGCTTTCCTTGAGAGGAAGCTATATGTTGGTTATTTCTGAACACTGAAAAGTTACACATCCTGACTACATTCAAATGTGCTCTCTTTTTGGACCTTTTCCTTCCTGTTAAAACTCAGGGGAAAAAAATACTACTTTATCCAAAGCTCTACAGCCCTCAACTTTTTAAAATTATTAAGAAGGTGTTATAAAAATGTTGAATTCATTCATTTGATGTGATATATACTTGTTATATATGGTATTCCTACTTGACCAAACAGATTCTTTTATGTTTTAACTTACCATTTGGTTGTTGAGCAAAAGCTGTCTGTTGTGGGAAAGCTGCCTGCGCTGGGAATGTGGGCTGCTGGAAGCTGCCACTAAAGCTAGTAGGAAGACTGTAGGAGGCAGGTGTTCCAAACCCTGCAGGCATGCTCATGGATGCAGTGCCAAAAGTTGCCGCTGGTAAGGGAAAGTAGCATTCAATTACTTACATATCTACCAGCAATTGACTACAGATACCACACACACTTTTTAGATCTTAATGCCCATACAACTACCAGTATCAGTATCACACCAAAATTCCAGGATCAGTGAGCCAATTTATTCACCACAAGTTTTATTCAACTTAGTGCTCCAGTTACCTTTGAAGTATTAATTTTACTAGATTTTACAAGCTTTGTTATATCAGTATTCATGCATTTCATGGAATTATTTTCCATGGTCTCCATCTACTTGAATAACTTTTAAGAGTTAATTCTTGTCAAGAGTTAAATACTAGCACCAGCATTTACAGGTAATCCAGTGTTTATTTTTTTCCCTATTTTTTTGTTCAGCATAGAAAAAAAAGTTTCAGATTTCCTAGATGGATTATAGAGTTACTCAATGAAAAGAAAGTTTTAAACACATTACTCAGTGTCCTTTTAAAATACTCTCGTGTTCTGCACATTTTATTAGGAAACAAAGTTTCTAGTGTAGAATCAATTCTCCTATAAATTAAAATAGGATTTAAAACCCCCACACACTTCTGTAATCTACCTCACCACTGAAGATTCCAAGTTATACCAACTTGCTGCATTTATGCAGTACACTATGCATCTTTAAAAAAATGCTTATCAACAGCAGCACAGCAAAGGCAAAAGACTAGCAACAAGACAGCTGAATCCTTTTGGATGTAATGTGGTAATAATGGTTATACAGAAGGGCTTTTGAAATGAACATAAATGTCAGGCATTTCTGCAGGACTGTCACTACAGTATTAAAACCTGTTCTTTTATAGCACTATAAATTTTAATTTATTTTTTGTACAAAACAGGTACAAACAAATTCTAAATCAGTGTTTTGTATTGAACACACTGGCAGTTAAACTCATCAGGTAATGGGGGGGGGGGGTTGGTGGGGAAGGAATTCTTAAAAGGGAATACCACACCACACGTGGGATATAAACCAAACATATCACTGACAAAAATACATACAAACAATGCACTGACATTACTTTCACAAGTTACCATTAACCAAAGACACTTTTGCAGTGAAGCTTGATAAAAAAAGCAAATCCAAACGCACTGCGACAAAAACGCACAATGGTTTGGGACAGCCTTAACAGGTGTCAAACGACAATGAACACAAGCTTCAAAAGTAAGTCACTCAGATTGTAAGCATCTATTGATGTGACCATGGAGGTAAACAATGGCTGTTTTAGTTCAATTTATTTATATCAAGTAGCTAAGTGATTTTTTTCTCCTCAAATGCCACCGCACACATCCATGCCCACTCCATTTTAAAATATGGAAGACAGCCTACTCAAATTCTACATGCAAAGAACCACATAGCTGGCAGTAAGCTTTCACAGGCAAATAAAACAATTAGCCACATGAAACTCAGATAACAAGTGTGGCCACCTACCAAAATGAGCCTGAGGAAATATGTGAGAGTGCATTGCTCCCGAGAGGCCTTGTGGAAGCCACAAAAAGACCAGACAATGTCAAATGGCTTATACATTTAAGAACAGCTCTGTCTTATATAAATATACAATTAAAAATAGCTATATCTGATTAAGTGCAGGGCATAAAGAACTTCCTTAGAATAAAACCCTTCCAATAAGCAAGCTTAGTACCTACCAAGTCTGCTAATAAGCAGTGAAACAATTATAGATAGTATATGAAATGTTATAAGCTGAGTATACCTGTATTATACAGTTCATACAAAACTCACTCAAACTACATGCATGGAGAGAGAGAGAGAGAGAATGAGTGAGTGAGTACGCACACCCCCCCCCCAATATATATGTAAAACTACACGATGAAGTAATCTTAATATATGCACTGGGTTTGTAGAAAAAAAAAAAAAAAAAAAGTATGTTATAGCTCATAGTTATTTTTTTATCTGCTACTAAATTTCCATTACAGAAATGTGTCAAAAAACTTTTCCAAAAATAATAGTTTGAAAGTAAGGGAATAATCAGAGATTCAACTGCATGACATTTAAAGTAAGGTAGCTTAACTAGCTACTTTCACAGGTGGTTACTGTCTGGCCAACCCACACAGTCAACTCTACTGGCTTCTTAAAGGCTAAAGTTTTTAACAGCCTACAAAAAAACAGAGAAGAATTTATAAAAATGGTACAACAGTCAGTAACAAGAACATTAAGCAAGATTTAGTCAGTTTGGCTAAGAGACAATCCATGGTAAAAGTTTGCAGAAATCCTGTTATCAAGATGGGGCTTATCCCAAAATTCAGCCTTATATATAAGAAATTAAACAGAAAATAAAAATAAGTTTGGTCAGTATCTAAATTTTGTAAGCAAGAACACCGCCGTGACTTCTTCAGTTCATATTTTGCATATGGAGTCATTGTTCCGTGATTTCCACAGAAGCCAGCTCTTGCCACAGAATTGTGCTGCAGAAGTCTAAAGTTTCATTTAAAGGGATTTCTATTCTTAATGACATGGGATGAAAGACATATTTCTAGAGCACTCAAGACCTGAAACAATAGCTAGGAAACTATGCATCTCAACTGGGATAGTAAAAATTTGAAGTGGTCACCAAAACAGTACCATCAGCTATTTCTCAGCTATTTATTTTATTTATTTATATAAATAAGAAAAGCATTCTGAAGCTACAAGCACAAGTCTTTTAATGAAAGGTTTACATCCTTAAATGACAAGGCTCATTTTTTTCCTAACCTGTTGCTCCTCGGCTATTGGTCTGAAATGGGTTTGTTGAAGGTGCCACTGGGGCAACGGGGGCAGCCACAAAAGGATTTGTGGAAGGTGTTGCTGTGAAAAAAAAGCCACGCACAAGATCAATCAATCTTTTCCAAAAAGAGAAAATCTTTACACAGCAGTGATTAGAGTCTTATTACACCATATCTCAGTTACAAAGTCATATCCAGTTAGAACATTAAAGATATGCAAGCACCATTTTCTTTGCAGACCATTTCTTAAAAACTACTTATCTTACTGCATGCACTAGCAGGGATTCCATTTTTTTGCCAACATCTCTAATGATGGCGACAACACTAGCTTTACTATACACTAAACTAAAAGTCAATATACTGTTTGCTTGCAGTCTGCATAAGTTTAATATTTTAATATACCTCCAAATGGAGCAGGCACACTTGAAGATGCAGGCTGTGTCTGTGCGGAAGCAGCCACGGGTACTGTTCCAAAAGCATTGCTGAAAATAAGTCACATTCAGTGAAGTCAGAGTTGCTTGTTTAAAAATTTAAGTCTCCTACAATTATGGTGCGTAAATAGGATAGGGATGTTGATTAACAGATGCACAAATACTACATAGTCCACTGGTGTAAGAGCTGAATTTGGGATGCCAAGCTCAAAAACTGACTATATTAACACAGAGCAATGAGAAAAGTGTATAAGTATGGATACTGGGGGGCGGGAAGCAAAGAGACAAACTGTCAAGCAAAAGCTCTAGGGAAACTTGCATTTCCAAGCAAAGTAGCTACAAGCATTTAGTTTTCATTACTTTTAGAGGCAGGGGATTGGCACCATTTGGATTACAAATACAGTGGATTCCTGTTACCTGCACAGCATCTATTTCCTAATTAGTGGTGTGCAAAGCAGGCCCTATTAGATTCAGATTTGGATTCAGCCCAAATCAGGGACAGTGATTTGGCTTGTTGATTCAGATCTCTGTCCCCAATTTGATTCGGCCAAATCTGAAGATTTGATGCCGATTTGGAGAATCAGCGATTCACACACAGCTTTAAGTGTCTTTTTTACATACCTCGAGGTACCAGCACAGCTTGTGAATGCTACAATACTGGGGCGCATGGAGCTTCCCACAAGAGGGAGGCCTCCACATGCTCAGCGGCAAACCCGGAAGTGGACTGGAAGTAGTTCTGGTCCACTTTTGGGTTTGCCAGGGAGCGCACTGCCATCCCCCACCCCCCCAATGCCTCCCCAGCTTGGCAATCTGCCACAGGGGACCCCAGGTGCCCACCCAGACCCAGGAGGCATCAGTCACTGAGCCCAGGGGGGGTGCGGGGGGACCCCCTGCGTGCTTCCCAGCAGACCTGGAAGTGGACCGGAAGTGCTTCTGGTCCACTTCCAGGTCTGCTGCTGAGCGTGCTGGGGAGCCCCCCATGCTTCTGTGGGACGCTCCCTGCACCCCAGCATCACACCACTCATGAGTTCTTGCTATCTAGAGGTATATAGAAAAAACATTTAAAGCTGCCTCTATGTCCGATTCGATTCAGAGAGATTAAAGGGTCCTCTGACTGGATTTGGAGATTCGGTCACTGAATTGGGCCAAATCAAAATCAGGGACCGAAGCTTTGCACAGCACTATTCCTAATGATAAAATCCAAATAACTGAAGAAGCAAAATGGGCAGGGGGAAGGGGAAGGGGAAGAAGCAGGGAAAGACTAGAAATGGGTGGCTACTTCTCAATTATAAAAAATGTGGCACTGCACATTAAGTCATTTCCCATATTTAAATCACCAGCTCTAAAAAAGAGCGATTCACTGGTAAATGAACTGAAAAATTATGGTATTTGCTGTTCAGTGACAGCAAGCCCCGCTGTGCCTTTATGCTTGATAATGTACAGATGAATAAATTAAGAAAATCCCACACATTACATAATTTCCATCTCAGACATGCTGCTGAGTGATCTAATGTAGCTGCCATAACACAATTAAGTATGACTTTAAAAAGCTGTATATAATCATTCACCAAATAATTTTTTTTAAATGTTCTCAAACTTTGCACACTGTTAAAACTTTACAATATTTGATCAACCATTTCTTTTCCTAGTATACTGCATAAACCAAAACTAAGATGTGCTAAAACAGATATGTAGAGTAACCAGATGGAATTTAATTAAAATAGAATTTTTTCTTATTAGAAGTATGCAAATAGCCAATATACAATAAAGCAGAGCCTACTGTACCCATATTATTCAAAATAAAGTGTTTGCCATTTATGCTGCTATGTTAGAATTGCTTGCAAGTATAAGATTTGTATTCTCTAGCAATGTAGTGCATACATCTCAAAAGGTGTAGAAAGGCAAAAGCTGGTCAAACACTAGTCTTAAGTTTTTATTTTACAACCTCTTGTGGGCAGTCCAACCAACTATTGCTATCAAAACCACATTCTCTCAAAAGCTAAAATACCCATACATACTGCTCCAAAAGTTAAATTATGATCTAACACAAAAAATAAGAGAAGTCATACATACACGTTTTGAAAAATAGTGTAATTATTAGCTGTTTTCTGCCTGTAGATAGTTACTTTGAAAGTTGCTTTGATTTCTGACAAGAAAGTACCTGCTAACATTACTGGTGGAAGTATATGCATTACTAGACGTTGTTGTAGAGCTGAATACGCTGTCTAATTCTGCTAAAGCTGCGTACTTGTCTGAAGATGCACTTGACTGACTTGGGGCTGATACAACAGGACCTGCTGATGCTGTAACTACAGTGCTGAAGCTACTTCCTTGTTCACCACCACCTGAGGGAAATAAAATAGATATACATCAGATTTAAAAGTTTAAAAATAGCACTGAAAGAGGTCACTCTCCATGAACTACTGAACATTCGCATGCAAAAAATGAAAAAAAAAATCCTCATATTTGTGACTTAAAAATGAAGCATTATGCTTTTAATGCTAACCTAATAGAGGTCAAGTCAACAATGGCTTTTCATTTCCCCCATAATAAGCAGACAGTTCATGCTTTACATTTTATAGTATTCTTTGTACCCTCCAAAAAAACCCCACAACTGACTCGCAGGCTTATTTCAGAATACAGTATTGAATATTACATTGAGACATTCTTGGACATTTGGAGTAAAATAAAAGCATGAAAAGCTAACAAATGAATTACAGAAGGCTGGAATAAAAAAAAAAAAATTATTTCACTACTCCCTCAAAACGCACAAGAAAACTATACCCTACTCTTTCATACTTTATAAACTAATTTATAAGTAACCCAGTTTGACTTCAGTCCTGCCACAGATTGAGTCCAGAAGGTCTCTATAATTTAATGCTCATTGTAAGTGTCACTCCCCAAACTGACAGCTTTAAAGTGAAGAACATACCAGTTTTGCCTGGTAATTACTAACTTCTTTATCATTTTAGTGTATTAGACTTAAATTTAACTTGGATTCTTACAGTTGGCTATTGACCTCATTCAACCCACAATTACTTTAGCATACATAGGATGACATCCTTTAAAATTCTCATTACAAGTGCTAGTGGTTAAGAGGCTCAAGCAAGCACCAAGTTGTACAAACATCTGGGAAAGCTGTAAAATGGTAGATGTTCAGCATAAAAGGTAATCATTTGGATGCTTATCTTGCTGGGATCCTTTGACCCTAGCTGACTTCCTGCCCCTGAGGTAGGGGGCTGGATTCGATGATCTTCCAAGGTCCCTTCCAGCCCTAATGTCTATGAAATCTTTACCTCAGACTTCAGCTGGGATGCTTTCAATAATTTCTAGAAACCTAAAAATGTGTTACTTGAATAGTCACCATTGAAACAGTACCAGGATGCCAAATTTTAAGCCATAAAAAGGCACTGATCCTTTGATAAGGTTTTTTTTAAACAGATAACTATATGTATAAAATGTATGCTTTTTTGTGAAGCCAAACCACAACCCAGGAGTGTTTAAAACATTGAAAGCATGAAGAAGTTTTCAGAGCAGACCTTTTAGAACAACATGCACTGTTACCAGTTGACAAGCACAACCAATCTCAGGAGAAAGAATAAAAACAAGTCAGAGAACAAAAGTTAATACCTTGTCCTGTGCTGAAGATATTATCTAAGTTAGCAAGAGCTGCATATTTGTCTGCTGACTGGAGAGTTGGTTTATTCACTGCAGCTTTACTGGCTGCAGTTGCTGTTGTGTTGCTCTGAGAAGCACTGAAGGCTCCAAAATCAGCACTGGAGGATTTGGGGAAGTTATCAAAGTGAGCAAAGTTAGCATTCCCTGATCCAGCACTCCCACCTGGAACAAAATAAGTTAAACACAATGGATACTGCAAGGCTAGGTGGTCACTCCAAACACTTGGTAGCAGTACTACTCCACCTAGGAGTACTATTATTCTGCCTCATTTGTGGTAGACTAGGCAGTTACACTATATACCATAAGCTCCCTCAAAAGCCTTCTCCCACAGAATTAAAATCTTGACAAGCACATTTTTCAAACTTCAAAACCTGAGGTAAACCACCATAACTAACTCAAACACATCCCAATTAAAAATGTGCAAAAACTACAGTTTCAGTGTAACACTAAGTCAAACTAGCTCAAACAACAAATATTTCACTAGAAAATTTGAGGTACTTTTCCATTTGTAAACCACAAAATACGACAGCTCAATTGTGTTGCTGTCATAGTCTAGCAATTGGCTTATTTTCCATAATGGTTCAATATAGTTGACCAGTTTAGACTTCAGTACACTACAGACAAGTTTGATTTGAACATCCAAAAGATAGCACAATATGCTACCATGCCAAGATTGAGAGTGAGACAGTCATTTACTCCCAAATCTCCTGGCTTCCTCCAATTCAGACAGACACCACAGTTTTGAGGAGCGAGTATAAAAGAAAACAGCTAAACAGGACATCTGAGACCACTTGCCTTCTAGTACATGGATTAGAAAAGCTAAATTATATTTATAAAACACACCACACGCTACTAATCTCGAAAAATAGAGAAATCAGTTTGAAAGCTCCAGTTCTTGGGTGCGCACAATAGAATGTTTAACCATCTAGAAAGGCATTAATTTGTGACTTAAGACCATGTGTCCAGAGGATCAGTTATACTATATTTTAGTTTACAAGGGGAGGTAAAATAATAGTACTTCTTTCATGTTTCCTTAGTGCATAAATGTATGTTGCAAGACGGTATAAATTGATATTCAGTTAGCCAAGTCACATCTCTAACAGTTAAATAATGGTTTTATGAGCAAGTATTTGGAAACCTAAACACAAGTTATCTGGTGAAAAGTGTGCAATGCTGTCACTAAATAAGAACGTTACACAACAGCAGAATAAAATGAAACAAGCCGAATTTCCCACTGGGTAGAACTTACTGTGTACAGCCTGGAGAGGAAAAGCTGAAGTAAATTCACCAAAACTGCAGCTAGATGAAAGCGTTCTGAACGCTGGACAGCCAGAAATGTGTGTGCGGTTAGAGGTTAACAAAAGAAGGGAGAAAGAAAATTTAAAAAAAGAAAGTTTAAATGATACCACACTCCAAAAGGAAAGGAAAATAAAATAAAGAAATCAGCCAAAGATCTAGACAAACAGCAACGGTCAGCCCAAGCAAGTTTTAAATGCATAATTAAAATTTAAAAAACAAAGAAAAATAGGATTTTTTTTTAGCAGCACTCTACATATGAAATCTTAATAGCCTCTTACAACACACTGCTGTGGTAAATAGTTAATACTTCACTAACTTGCTTTTGAAAGGTTCACATTTTAAGTTCTATAAGTATAAGTATTCAACAATACCAAGAGTTAATATTCCTAAATTTATAGTGATTTTCATGTGTAGAGCTAATAAGCTACAATGCCATAAATTAGGCTTCCCAATAGTGCAGGGGAGAGGGGTGGGGGGGGGGAAGACACACCAAGAACACCAAACAGATGAAAGCATTCATTTCAGGTTTCCCCAGAGCTTCAGATAATTCAGCTGTGTTCAAGCACACAGATATACAAAGTCAACTCAACTTAAGTACTTATCAACCTAAAAAAAAAAAAGATATATATATGGAATTTATATTATAGATTAATCAGAAGTTCTAGTAATTCTACCTGTATTTGGGGGCTGAAAAGGAGATTGACTTGCTGTGGGGAAACCTCCAAAGTTACTCGAACCACTAGACTGTCCAAATGCATCAAAGTTTGCAAAACCTGCATTTGCAGAGTTCTGCGCTGTAAATTGTAAAGGAACAAAACACATTAATGGATATGAAAAAACAAAAACAGATGTATTAACTGAATTTATGGTATGGTGATCTGAGGGTCATGTCTACCACCTTAATTTTTTTTAAGCACAAATATCACTCATCCAAAGTACAATATAAATCCTTCAAACCATGTTTTAAACCTTTCATGTTCACTTGTCATGATCCCGTCAGTGAACTCCCACTTTTGTAAAGCTTACTTCTTTCAAGCATAACAGCAATGTGTCACTATTCAATATCCACACTCAGCACTGAGAAGAAAGGTTTGTTTGGTAATATCTCATTGGACCAGCTACATATTTGGAGAGATGTTAGACAAACTTTTGGGTAGAAACCATCCTCTTTCAAGTCTGGGAAAGAAGCATATAAGAAATCTAAGCTAAAATCCAGGTACAAAACTGTGTCTACCTCTCAGCTATATAGATGGTGAATAAGAGTTATTACTACACAAACCTGGCTTTTGTAAAGTTTTAGATAGTATACTATGTAGACAGAAGTACTCAGGCCACTACTTCATTTAAGCATAATCATAAAAATTAACCAAACCAAACAAGGAAACAAAAAAGTGAGTGAACAGAAAGCCTCTCTGTTCCTATTTAGCCTTCCTTTTAGACACTAAGTATAATGGACCATTAACACAAATTGCACGAGCAACATTAAGCATTAAAAGTGACCCTGTGCAAGGTTCGTACTCTTGCCTCATTTCCTTTTGCACCATGACACTGCAAGGGAACTAGAATTTACTAGGCCCAACTCCTACCCAAGAGAGGGAAGTTGAACGGCTAGGTAGGACTTTCAGAGCACCTTCTATACTTGTCTGTAGACTTTAGTGACCAGGCAGGAATGGGACGGACGGACACACCACACCACACAGGACGGGACAGGGTAACGTCACTATATTAAAAAAAAAAAAATACTTCTCGTGACAGGTCACATTCATTTAGCATATACATACAAAAAGCTTCTCTGGATGTAAAGTTCTAGCCACTGCTTCCAATTTAACCCAGACCCAGTTGAGTTAAGCCAGTATCATAACATGGAACAAGCAAGCAAGGCACCAGCTCGCTGGAATGGCAGTCCCTCAGGGAGTTTGTCTCTCAAAAGCTACCTCAGGCTGCAAAGTAGCAGCTAGATGTGGGGTACCACAGCAGCTGCCGCTGCCAGAGGTTGCCAAACAACAGGGCAGAAACAGGTAGGATGTTCTGAGGCAGGCAAGACCGACCATCCTCTCCCCATCCATCCCTTCTCTCCAGTACCTAGTATGTTCCCGATCACTACTCGGGGTTTTTTCTCAGGGCACAAACCTTGTCAGCTACACCTTAAGTTAAACATCCCCCAAAAAGTAAGTTGGAGAAATGCTGATATTTTAAGTATTATTGCAGATGATGCTAGCAGTAGAGAGGATTAGTAGGAAGAGAACCAATTAAAAAAAAGCATCTAACTCTACGTATTTAAAAACTAAAGAGAAGTTTATATGTAAACAGAAAGCTGCATTTATTAAACAGCTAGTCAGCTGAGCAGTTGTGAAAATACTAGAAAGCACCTCATTCATTACAGCTGGTTATATTTCAGACCACCTTTAGAAACTACTTATTATACAAACTGTAAGAATGACAGTGAACAGCACACAGGCTTAGGCAAGTTTCACTTTTGTTCAAAATAGAACTCTACTACCTGGGGAGAAGGGAACAGTTTGGGAACTGCTGTGCTAAGATTTGTTTTACTGACACCTTATAAAGAAGGCGAGAATGAGAGCATGCAGGCTGAGGCTCAATTTATACAATATGGAGGTGATACCAATTTGCTGAAACAGTTATTTGGAGGTATTGCCCTGACAGATAAAATTCACAAGATTAATATTCTTCTGAAAATGCAAAAAATCCAATATATACAGGAATGTACTACTTTAAAAACAATCTTGCAATAGTTGTTCAAACCTTTGTGGCTCTCAGATTGGAGCACACTTGTTAGACAAAGAGGTTACAGCTGAAAATGAACTGGAAGGGAACAACGGACTTAGAGTTGAGATCGGAGAGCTATTGGGAACCAAAGTATAATTTTCAAAACATGTCATCAATTTTGACTCTTCTATTGATAAACCCAAGACACTACAGGATTTGTGGAGGTCTACTGTGCAGTTATTGTTGTGACATAGATGCATCATTCTGAACCAAGTAGTTTGAAGCATTTTGGGTCTGCCTGGAAGAGATGGAGGTGTCTGCTGTGGCTGCAGACTACTGAAAGGACTCCAACAGAAACACCCTCCGTTTAGTCACAGTGAGTTTTGTATCTAAGTGTGTGATAAACATTCCTTTTGACTTGGGAATGAACACATTTTCTCTTTTCACATTAAACATTCTGTAGTTATTTTAGGTTCATCTAGAATCAGTAATTGTCATTACTGAAAAAATTATAAATTGTGTTGAAGCCTCCGCCATTCTCCCAATTTTTAATTGCATATTGTGACCAACAGGAAAACTTCCTTTAACACGGAAAAATCTAATTGTTTTAAAGGTACACCTTCATCTAATTGAAGTGTATTTGTTAAGCATTTTTGGCACCTCATTACAAAAGAAAACCCATAGATTTTTCTGCCATTTGTACTCTGATCAATGTGGGGGGTAGGGGTTGTTTGTTTGTTTCATTTCTTAAACAGATTGGACTTTCAATCCAGCCAAGACATTTCACTATTCATATTAGTACAGGATTTCTCATCAGCAGTATTTCTCATTATTGGCAGCATTATGAAACTGAGAAACCAACCAAGGAGATTTAATAGACATTAGAGGCTGGAAGGGACCTCATGAGTTCGAGTCCAGCCCCCCTGCCAGAGGCAGGAAGTCTGCAGGGATCAAATGATCCCAGCAAGATAAACATTCAAATCCCTTTTGAATGAGTCCAGAGTAGGTGCTTGCACCATCTCTGTGATCCAGACTTTGGACACACAGACTGTAAAGAAGTTCTCTCTTATATGGAGTCTGAATTGGCCTTCTAGAATATTGTGGCCGTTAGTCCCAAGGGATAACTAGGTCTATCTAAATGGATAAAGAAAGTGAAGGGATAGCAACAGACATATACCCTAACTAGTAGCAATGTCTGCCATGGAGTGGCTGACAGATATGGAGCATCACAGCTATTACTACTCTTCAGAATCAAAAAGTTAGCCATTCAGGAAAAGCCCACATGGATTGAGGCCCTATTTTCAATAATAAGGAAAAAACATCTCTTCAGGTTTTGGGTTTTATTCCAAGCCATTCTAAACACATAGTGTTATACCAAGCCCCATGATTTATGTTCAACATTTGTTTCATTACGCTTACTCTTAAACTACAAATCAAAGTTGAGGTCTTCCCTCCTATACCAACTCGCTCTTCCTTCAGTTGTCATCTCTTAGGTCTTGCCCAGTAGTGATTCACAACTTTTGATTCCTTGTTTCCTTCTCCAGTTCTTTACTTTCCCTCCATGAAGGAGAAAGCTTAATATATTTTATTTTTACTAAAAATGGTAGTAACAGGAACTAAACCACCATTTTATGTAATCAAATATATCTTTATAAACTTAACAAATCATGCCACTAGATTACCATCTTGTTATAAATAAGATGCTAACTAATACAAATGAACACTCCCAAGGCATAGTAATATTTCATTATTAACTCAGCAGTTCCCAATCTGTGGTATGGGTACCACCAGTGGTATGCAGACAACCTGACAGCGGTACTCATTAACAGATTTATTATAATTACTTTATGACAAAAATGTGCTGGTGGTACTTAAGGGTGAACTGAAAGAATTGCTGGTGGTACTTAAGGTTGTATGGTTAAGTTGGTGGTGAACAGTCTGTCAGTTTGGGAATCACTGATGTAGACAGTATGGCCATTTCCTACCTATACACCATGAAGAAATAAAACAGCTTAGTTTCATATTTTTAATTTGAAATGAAAAGCCTATAAAGCAATCTTACCTGTATGACTGTTGAAATGTGCAAAGTTTGCAAAATTTGCTGTAGCAGTTGATTGAGGAGCAGGAGCAGCAAAGATATCTGAGCCAAGGTCACTGAGGAGGTCAAATTGCTTCTTTTCTTGCTGCTGCTGCCCTTGAGACCGAACTACAACAGGGGACTATAAACAACATGTTAATTAGTTAAATAGGAAAGCCAATATTTTACCAACTTAGGATATTTACAAGAAACTATAAAAGGACAGAACTGAATAAGCTACTTTAGGACCAGTTTAAAACTCTTTTCCTGCCTGACCATGGTCAGCAAGTCATAGAAAGTGTGTTAAATTAAACAATGAGCTCCTTTTAAAAAAGTGATGCTTTAACCCGGAGTGTATAAACACTGGAGAAGTGGCAGAGTCCTTCTTCCCGCTTCCCTCTGCAGGTATACAGAAGCATTTTCTTCAAAATGGCCAAAGGTGTGAACTGAGGGAGCTCTGCAGATCTCCATCAACTAAGCTGCCTTCTACACAAAAAAAACAAACAAACCCCCCCCCCCCCAAAAGTGTCTATAACAAAGTCCAAATTATGAAAATTGTATGCAATATCTGCAACTGTTTGAAAGCCAGCAGTGCTTCAGAGACTTATAGGTTTGAATTCCAAGCTCCTTTCAAAGTTTTCTATTTAATGGATTTCCTAAAACAGGGCACAAGTGCTGTAAGGTTAAAACTTCAAGTTAGGAAATTCCAAAACTGCATTCAAATCTCAATTCTACCCTTTTTACAGACTAAAACTACCCCAAACTTGTTCAAAACATTTTACTTCTCCTGTAATATTATAAACATACTACATTTCATTATACATTTCTTCTAATGGACTATCTCTACCTCATTTGGCAATAAAAGAAACATTCTTTCAGAATATACAAAATAGTAAAATAGTAATAGTGAACATACACATAATATATTTATGGCAGTTAAAAATAGGCAACTAGATTATCTACAGAACTAACTCTAAAGACAGACGGTTGAAGAAATATTCTATGCCAGGCTAAAATATTTAGATACACTTTAGAAAGAACAACTACGACAATATAAGCCGTCTTTACAATGAGCTAAACTGAAAAATACTAAGCGAAATGGAGTTTCACTACTTACATCAGCAAACACTAACTAAGAAAACAGGTCTTGTCCATGGCCTCCTTTAATTGAAAGATGGAGTTTAACAGATGGCTTAAGAGTATACAGGAGAGACTCTTAAATTCCAATAGGAATACAAGGGAGGACCACTCAACACAAACTTGTTTTCCCCATCTACAACATTTAAGCAAAAGCTTGTCCATGAAAACTTTAGGATTTTTAGCAGTGCTGCCAATATACTGCATGCTATGAATGGAACAGGCTATACTTTTTAGTTTGAGGTTCTTAAAAAGTCAAGTAACTGAAGTTTAGTTTTCAGACTTTCAGCCCCAATTTGAAAGACCACAAAAAACAAAAGAACATGAAAACTACTGATAACTCTCCTTTTACAAGTATCCCACTTATACCACAATTAACTATTTTGTAAAAACATGATCAATTCACATTACCATTCCCTTTATTAAATTAATATAAAACTCTCACAAACCTAATTCACTAGTTACTCACTTGGCTAGGTGTGCCTTTGTTTAAGTGCAATGCTGGTGCAGATTCTCCCAAAAGAGATTTAAGTGGCTTCACCTCAGGTGTACTGCTTGTACTACTTGCAGAAGACCCCGATATAGATGCATGGACTGAAGCCACCACCTTTGCTTGTTCTGGAGGAACATACCTGAGTAGAACAACAGTGTGTTGTTTTATGATCATTTAACAGAATTTTTTGTTCCCAAACATTGATTACAAGGCAACAATTCAAGAATTATTGTTTTGAGTCGTCAGACGTGCTATTTTAAGCTCTAGACCAAGGAGAAAAAAAACGAATTGCTTTTTAGTGCGTCACATCTTTGCATCATTACAGCTTTTCTCTTAATAAAAAGATGGACTTTAAACAGATGGCTTAAGAGTAGACAGCTGGAATTCTCAAAGGCAAGGGAAGACCACCCAACACTAGGGGCACCTATACACATGCAGGGAAGCTGCTGTCAAATAATTTGAGCTATCAATTAACTCAATTAATCAAGTCTCCAGCAGACCCCAGCACATGGGCATCAGCATCTCTGCACTGAAAAATGGCTGAATGAGCTTTAGTTAAAAAGTGCCCCTGCTGCCATTTTTCAGCGCAGGGATGCTGATACACATGATGCTCTGGGCACTTTAAATTAGAGTGGCTCTCGGAGCCACTCTAATTAAAGCACCCCTCCCCCCACCCCACTCCCCAAACTCCGAGCACACCTATAAACGCCTTAGCATTCCAGTTTTCCAAGCTTTTTGCAGCATACGCATAAGTGACACAATTCTGATGAGCATCATAGTACCTCCCTACCCTCACTTCAACTCCAAATGAATTTTAATGTTCACTGTTTCACTGCTAAGGTATGGATCATTATTCCAACTGCAAATCTGGTGTCCTAGCTTTCATACAAATGTACCCTGGAATGAAGGCAGGAATCAAGATCTTGACAACCATGCTTCAGAAGCTGACTTAATTCTTAGTATTTCAGTATATAAAAAAAAAAGTACAATTTTTTTAAATGTTCATTTAATAGATCAATATTTTCACAAAAACCTCAAATATTTCTATTTACACATTAACTCCATCTCTGAATAAGAGCCTAAGAAACTAGAGTCCAATAGTGTTGCTGGTAACATAAGTGGCTCCTGTTTCCATGCTGAAACAAGTAACCCAACCCCCAACCCCTCATACAGTCTTCACTTAGGTCTTTTAAACTCCTTAAAAATAAAGTGCAGCAGTTTCCCATCTATTCAGATGTCAACCTTCTGGATCACATGCTATATAAAATGATCCGACATGCTCAGACACAAGGTTCAACAGGTGTATTAAGAGGAAAACCCTACTACTGCCACCTGTCTAGTTATGTGGAGCACAGTATTTCTCCTGTCTCAGCTAAAAGGAATGACAGAAATAAACCTTGAAAACAGAACTTCCCACCTGCATAGTATGTTACTGCTGGGGAGCGTCAAAAGCTGCAGAGTAAGACAGCACCCAGTTCAACTTCTCAGAAAAGAGAGATTGGGCCAGACAAGTTTATATGCACTATGTTCAACACTGTTTTTTATTATAAGTGTTTGTTCATCAAAATGTTATCCAGACAAGTAGCCTGTTGTAAATGTAATGTTTTAACATCTACAAAAATCTTTTGTAGAGTACAATGCACTATTTAGCTGCCGAGAAGTTAATTTCTCTTCACCTAAAGTTGCACTCAATTTGGGTAAGAATGAAAAGATAGTTGTCAGTCAAATTATATGTATTTTTTAAGTCTTCAGCCATTTACAAAAATAGTTCTTATAGAAAAAAAATTACCTTACCATCTTTTCTTTTCATATTTTTCCTGTAGAAATTCCTTTACTTTCTGTGGATCCCTGAAGTCTGGAATTGCTGATGATCTATCATCAAATAATCCTAGCCAAATCTGTTTACACACCTTATTTGGAGAAGATACAGAAAGAAAAAAAGTAAACATTAAATAAAGTAGAATGTATAAAAATAAGCTGGAAAATTAAGTTTTTAGCTATAAATAGAATGATTAACATTTTTAATATCCATTACCAATCTTCCTTTGAGTTGCCCTTACAAGAGTTAAATGTCAGCCAAACACTGTCAGCAAGTAGAGATGCATCAGGAAACATCTTAGTGTGGACATAGCTTTTACCAGAAAAACCATGCTTTTATCTAGTCCTTCCAGTGAAAAGCCCCAGTGAAAACACAACAGGAGTTTTGCTAATGTACCTGCATCTAAATAAGGGCTTTGCTGTCATACAAATGTTGATCAGCATGAGGAGCTGCAATTTGTAGTACACAGCTCCATCAGCAAAAGTTTGTAGCACGGATGTGCTCAGACATAGAGATTTGACTTTACAATCCATCAGAGGAAAGACTGAAGCTTCCTTTCTATCTACATTCCTGATAGTGTGATGAACTCTGGTCATCACCAGTAGGTGCACAGTCCCTTAAAGACAGTCAGCTAGCACTCATTAAAACAATCCCTACATTACTTGATCCTATATTATAGGAAGGGAATAGAGCAATGCCAGTCAATTTATTCAGCTTCTCCTTTTCTTCAGCTACCCTGCAGAGAGTTCAACTCCAAATAGTTTCTCACCCCATCGGTAGAACTAATATTGCTCACAGAACAATCTCTGAAGAGTTCCAGATTATCACCAGCTACTTAGTTCAATGAGATAAGCAGAAACATAACTGATATGGGCTACAACACTGTTGAAGGCTATCTTCCAATACAAAAACAACTTACCTGCACCCTCTGAAGTGTTATTTGAAGAAAGACATGTGTACAAAAAGGATAACTTTTCAAGCATCTAACCCGAGAAAGTTAGGCTTGCAAAACACTCCATATAGGTAAGCTTTTTTCTTGAATTCTCTGTATTTAAATTTTAATAAAAAGTCACTACTAAAAACACAAGAGAAAAAAAAATAAAACAAAACAAAAATTCAGCTAAACTAGCTGTATTTCTTCATGTAGAGTTTCAAGGTAAGACACCTCCGCTTCACTTGTGGGCATTATTCCTGGTTTGCCCTGATAAATTGCAAATTCTCCGATTAAAAAAAAAAAAATAATTTCACAAATTCTCTCATAAAAGCCACGAAACCCATAATTAAAATGAAAGGCCACTGTGTGTGTATGGGTGTATGGGCGTGGCCAGTTGAACACAACATATTATTGATATATTTACAGTTTTAAATAGATTTGAAAGCCTACCAATAATATAATGCAATAAATTCTAAATACCTATACATTTTAGGTATTTGATTTTGGGGGGTTTTTGTATCATGGAAAAAGTCAGAGCTCCCCCTGCCCCCTTAGCTCACAGAAACCAAGTCCAGGCCGCTCACTCCCGGAGCCTGGTCCGCAGCCCCATGCAGTAGTGTCCAAGTCCCAGGTGCCACCCACGGTGGCAGTTGCTGTAGCAGAGCCTGGCTCCCACTTGCCCATTGGTGGCACAGCAGGAGTGGACCCAGGTGGGGGGGAGGGGAAGAGGTGGCTGCAGTGCACACTCCCAGGGGATCTGAGCTGTGCAAAGTGCAGGGGCAGATTCTGGTTCTCCACCCTGCTGCCCTCTGCCAGGGCCTCAGTGGGTAGAACCAGGTGCAGCAGGGCAAAGCCATGTTGGGTGGGGAGAAGCTCTCTCCTGCAAGCTCCATGCTGTCTCGGCGAGGCATCCCCTGCACAACCCGCAGCAATGGGTTGCGCAACTGTGCCACTGCCCCCACTGCTGTGGGGTGAGCAGAGGGCACATCACCAGTGCAGTGCAAAGCCCGCAGCAGCACAGAGCATCCGCACCCAGCCCCACTCTGCCTTGCTGTGCCAAGTCTCACCTGCCAGGCTGTGGAGGCTCCAGGCAAGGGCAGCAGGGCAAAGAGCCTGAGCCCACAGCAGGCAGCCAACCCTGCACACTGGTCTTGGGGGCATGGATCCTCCTTGCCCCCCCCCCCCCCCCCCCCCACCCACCGCCGCCATCCCCCCCCC